CACCGAGATTTGCGCCCAAATGTGGACAATAGGCGGACAACACGTGGACAGCACCCGATCCACCCCTGAATGCCACCAACTGTTGGCCACACATCTCAAACGGTTTGACACCATTGACGGGCAGATCTTTATACGTCATGACAATTATCCATGTGTTTGGGTATTGAAGTCTTTTAATATTGGCATTAATATTATGATCAAATACGGACTAATAAATAAATAATTTAAATTACTATCACCATATTGCAAACATTAAAGAAAGTTACATATTAAGACTTATTATAATATGCTCTGTCTATCTCTCGCTTTGCGTACCTTTTCTATTTTCAAGTGTGTTTTTTTTCATAAAATAAGTAGTATAAAATATATAATACAATTATAGCAGTAATATATTCATACATTTTTAAAAATTAATTAAAGTTCACTAATGCTCGAGAATGTGATTTAATTTTATTAAATATAATCTGATTTATAACATATGGTATAAATGCAACAATATTGTGGACAATATGACGTATAAGAAATATAATATTTAAAAAATTTGCAATAAAATTGTGACCATGCATAACAATAAGGCCTATTTGAAGGGAAAGTGCAAACCTGTGGCCAATATTGTGGCCGCCGTTAAGTATAAGGACAACGACTGGTTTTTTTGTGGATAAAAACGGCACGTATTGTAAGCGCAATAACAACTCCAAGGATAAGGTAATTGTTTTGATTGATTAATAATCTATACATTAAATTGAGATATAGAGTATAAGTTTAACATTGATTGCAATAATAATAATATAATTTATTGCAACAAATGGGACGATAATACAGAGCTGTTTGGTTGCAATCAAAAGCCAGTGAAAGCCGAGTTAAAGGAGTTGTTCCAAAACGCGACCATCAATTCGGGCGGTAATGTCGACCCAAACATAGATGTGGCCAAAGAGGGAAAGGTATGGACTTTCGACAATAAACCCAAAGAAGGCAAGCCATTGGGTGAGTTAGTGGCCGGCAAAGTGCCCGTCGAGGAGAAGTATCCGTGAGTGCATTTGCCCGGAGGTCTGAGTAATAATAGTGGCACTCATGTTATGGTGTACTCAACCAAGTGGTCGCAATAGCCTAAAAAGGGCGGTAAGGCTGGAGGTGCGAGCGATGCCGGAGCTGGTGATGGCGGTAGAGATCCCGGTAGTGGTGATGGAGACGCCGGCAAAGGACCGACAGATAACGGCAGCAAAAAAAGATACCGAGTCTAGTGATAGTGATCCCAAGGGTGACGCAAATGACGGGGCTTTGACTTTATTGGACCCAAAAGTGCCCAAATGGAAGCGCAAGTGTCAGCCCGTGGCCGACGACCCCAACAAATTTCCGCCTAATATTGTGGCCGATGTTAAAAATAAGTCCAACCACTGGTTTTTTTGTGGCCCAAAATGGGACGTACTGTAAACGTAAAGACGACTCGAAGATTGAGGTAAATTTATTTTGTAAAACAGAATTTCATGAATACATTAATAAATGTATACTTAAAGTGCAATAAATGCGAACCAAATAAACATCTGTTTAGATGTAAAGCAAAGAAAGTGAAACCAGAATTAGACGAGTTGTGTGAAGACCCGGCCATTCTGTCATCCAGTCTGGCAAAGGGAGGGGCAAACCAAAAGGGGGCCCAAACTCCGGTGATCCCAATGAGGGTTGAGATGGCGGTGACACCGGTTCGTGTTGGGCTGATCCCATTGCTGGTGATCCGGTAGGCGGTGGTGGCGATGGCGTTGATCCGGACTCAGCCGCAAATATACGCCATAAACCAATTGTGGGCGAAGACGGAAAAGTACGGAAAAGGGCGGTAAAAAAGATAGCGATCCCAGCGCTGGCGATACGGGCGGTGGCGGTCCGCCCAAAGATGTAAGGCATTCATTTAGCACAATTCTCATGATAAATAGAATATTTTTAAAAACCAATTTAATTATTTATATTTTTCAGAAATATAAAGTTTATTTATTAAAATAACCATGTTAATAATTTTGCTAATAACATTAATAAATATCATTTAGTTATTGCAAAATAATTCTGTTATTTTGGTTTAGTAGTGGTTAGGTTTCGGTTAGACTTTGGTTTTAGTTTTGATTTTGGGTTGGCTTTGGTTTTGTTTTTGGTTTTGGTATTTGTATTGCTATTGGGTTTGGTATTGGGTTTGGTATTAGTTTTGGTATTGGCTTTGGTATTAGTTTTGGTATTGGGTTTGGTATTAGTTTTGGTATTGGGTTTGGTATTAGTTTTGGTATTGGCTTTGGTATTAGTTTTGATATTGGATTTGGTTTTGGATTTGGTTTTAGTTTTGGTTTTGGCTTTGGTATAAGTTTTGGTATTGTTTTTGGTATTGGTTTTAGTATTGGATTTTGTTTTTAAAACAACATTTGGATTGGTTTTGCAAGTCTTAAGATACTCATCGAGAGGTTGACCCCCACTCTCACGTCTCCCCTCTTCGATACACTTGATATTAATCTTAATAAATAAATTCCAATTACTTTTGGTTATATGCTTGAGGTGTGGTAAACATGTGCCACTTTTAACCATCGCTGGTATTCTGTGATAACTAGTGTTTCTGCCGCCGACATAGACCGGCACCTCATCCAGACTTAGCAACTCTTCGTCCGCTATTTTCTTGTTTATCATTCGATTACGAATATTGCGGTTAAAGAATTGGAGACCAAAATTGATTATGGTTTGAAATATAAAATCCTGTTCGTATAGAATGACCAATTTTTCTCTAAACAAATCCGGTTTATTAGCCGCAACAGCCATATCGTACCATGAAGCTATTATGTTTGAAACAGATTAATACAAAGGCAACTTAATTGCATTACAATATATAAGTTATTATATACATACATGTATGTATGTAATTATACTTAATCTTGCTCACATAATACAAAATTTTCCGGTTTCATATTCTGGTAACTGTGATACAACAGGCCATTTGTATTTTCGCGTATAAATTCAGCGAATATGTGCACAATAAATTGCCTGTACAATGTGTCTAGCGCATTGTTATTAGTTAAACGCATACAACGGCCCACTTGACCGTAAACGGGTTGACCCGATTTTGAGAACCCAAAGTTATTCGTATATCCGGTGGCAAAAAACTCCGAGGGGTAGTACTCAGGCACAAATGGCTTATTTGTCACATCGTATATTGAATTAGACTCCAGTAATACTGACGTTGGGTTGAAAGACGAAATGATTGAAAGTGGTGAAAATTGACTTAAATCTGGATTTAATGCAGTAGTATTAACAAGTTGTTTCACTGGACTCAATATTACATCTGGGTTTAAAAAGCCATACGATGGCCCAATCATTGGCATCAATACGATTAATAATAATAATTTTAGCATTTTAGTTTAAGATTACAGATTATACAAGTAACATTTAAAAAACAGATTGTAATGTAAAAGAGAATAATATAATTGAGAATAATATGGAGTTTACAAATACGATAACATTGAACTTTTAATTACAAAATTTAATTAAATCACTGCCAATATAATAGAAATTTAAAGTTAGTAAAGCTATACATTCAAACTGTTTATAAATGTTAGAATGAATGTTAATGATCTGATTTATGGGCAAAAGAATTAGAGAGATTCAATATTTTGTGTTTATGGTTGTATAGAAACATAGTGAGAGTTATGGATTATATCAATGAACTACTTATGCACTGTACTTTCATTTTATATTGTCAAATCCGGGTTGCAATCTTAGGCAGATCCCGACATCCTCCTTTCTAATAACTTATAAAATAATAATAATATTAGTAACTTATAAAAACACATACAACTATTTGTATTCATAGTTTATCATCAAACAGTTTTGTGTGCATAATATGTGTGTAAAGTTTACACTGTAAACTGTATATTGTAATATTGTAATACAGTATATTGTATTTAATTGGCACATTTTGGCGATAAATAGAAAACCCATGCAATTCTAGATTAGACGATCTAGAATTTATTGAATTTAATTATTTACAATTATTATAACAATATGAATGATTGATGTAATGTTTATTACGTAATGTCACCATTTGATAAGCAATTTTTGAATTACAAAAAAATATTTGGGTTTATTTAAAAATCTGGCAAATTTATGTCGAATACACACAGTATTGTAGTTTAGTTTTGGTATTTCTTATAACTTATAAAATAATAAAAATATTTAAAATAATGTTTGAGAGCCGGAAAGCACTTACAGTGCAATACAAAAACAATAGTGATTTATACCGACCACTAGCTAAAGATTTATATAATTTAAAAATTTAGTAAATCTTTTGAAACTATTTAAAGTCATGTCAAATTTTTAAGCATATTTTAATTGATAGTTAATTTAGTTTAGTGTAAAACCGTTGACAATAGCGCCGATACCAGACAATTAGCGCGTCGTTGCGGGTAAATTTCGGGCGCTTTTGTTTCTGGAAATTCACCCAGATCACCATATCCGAATCAACCTATTAATGCAAATTATTATAAATAAAATTACTCAAAAACAAATTTATATGACGTTATTGAAAATTAAAATCTACCCTGTTACTGTCCCGCCACCTTAATGAATATTATTTAAGTCAATCATGGTAATAGTTTACAAACATAACTTACTAGTATTGCAGCTTATGTTTGATTGCAAAATATACCTGATTTTCAATCATATAGTGGAAAGGTATAGCATATAGTCTGTTCAACAATGTTGGCTTGCTAAATATAATCGCTCTCATGAGTGTTTGATCATGGCGCAACGGTACAGTGGTTGCCAGTGATAATACAGGTCCCAGCATTGCATTGTCCTCACCAATCATCATCGCCTCCAGCACTGGTGACACGTGACACAATCTCATGGGTACAGTGACCAACTCGATGCCCAATAGACAGATGGTAAGCCTACCGGCCGTTTCATTTTCCGAGCCATACGTTGTGTCAAACGAAGATTTTAAGCTAGTTATGTATGGTATGATCGATGTGTGTATGTAATTAGCATTCTCTAAGTCTACAGCATTTGCGGTGACTACCTAATGATCGTGGTCAAATTAAAACTATCTTAATAACTTTAAATATTTTTCTATGATTTTAAATAATTAATAGTTAGCTGTTGTGGTCAAAAAGTGACCAGCGGCCAATGAGCTAGTATTGATTTAAAACGTTAATTAATATACAGTAAAAAATATACTGTATATCTATTATAAAATGAATTTATGTTTACATCATGGTTGCTGTCCATAAGTCTTGTAATCGAGCCCTTAAGTGATAGTTTGTGGCCGTATTTGGCATCAAAGTCCTCGGGGTAGTGGTCGGGCTCCGAGCCCTCCGAGTGGTGCCAAACATATATCAATTCATTCCTCTCTATTGTCGGCCATTTCTTTACCACTGGTTTTATTGCCTTTAACTCCAAGTCTAAAATCAGTATTTTATTATTAATTAGTTTTCTCATGTAATTTAATATAAATATAATCATAACATATGAATAAGTACTGTATAATACATACCATTGAGATTAGGTATGCGTTTGCACTGTCCGTCTCCGCCAAACCTCCAGCCATGGAATGGACACTGAATACAGTCGTCGCCCG